AGCACTCACTACTGCTAACCAGTATCTTCTGTGCTCCTTGTACAAACCTCTTGCATGACAAAGCCCAATCTCTGTATATTTACATATTAGGAAGCATCATATAACATAAATAATTGAATAAGAGGAATTTTAATCTTTTGCTTACATCTTTTCAAGAAAACTGTAGGGATTCCATTTATAACCATGCCTGTAGTCTATTAAATCCTGGTCCCTATTTTCCATTGACTTTTTTTATTATCTTCCATCTGACACTGCACCCAAATCCCACTGGCCCTTCCTTTACTATTTATTCCTTATGGTAGCAAAGTGCAGCTCTCATTTTTGTCACTTTCTCATCTTATTTTCCTGTCTATACTACCTTTCTCATTGTCATTCTCATTCTGTCCTGTTTTTCAAAAGCAGTTTTATGGGGCTAGCATTGTGGCTTAGCTGGTAAAGCTGCCACCTGCAGTGCCTACACCTGTTTGAGTCCTGGGCTGGGCTGCTCCATTTCCAGTCCAGCTCCCTGCTGATGGCCTGGGAAAGCAGTGGAGAAACTCGTGGCTGCTGTCTTCAGACTGGTCCAGCTCCAGCCACTGTGGCCATTTGGGGAGTGAACTTGAAGATGGAAGATTCTCTCTTTCCCTCTCTCTTTCTCTTTCTCTCCCTCTGTAACTCTACCTTTCAAGTAAATAAGTAAGTCTTGTTTTTTTTTTTTTAAAGTTTTATTTCTATCTATCATCTATCTATCTATCTTGAGGAACAGAGAAAGGGAGAGGCTTGTTAAAAGGAATTGGATCACACGATTGTGGAGGCCCAGGAGGCCTCAGATCTGTGGCTGGGAAGCTTGAGACCTGGGAGAGGGAGTGCTGTGGTTACAGGCTGAGTCTGAGGCTGGGATTCCAGCTCCACCAGCCAGATTGGAAGGATTTTCTTTACTTAGTGAAGGGTCAGCCTTTTTGTTCTACTCAGCTCTTTGATGGACTGGATAAGGTCCACCCACATTAGGGAGGGTCATTTGTTTTATTCAGTCTACCGATTCAGCATAGAACCTCATCCAGAAACTCCCTCAAAGACACACCTAAGTTTCTGGGTAAAGAAAAAAGAAAAAAAAGGACACACCTGAGGTAACATTTCACCAAATGGCCTAACACCCCCAGCTCTAGTCAGGTTGACACATAAAATATTCACCATCATAATTGGTGGTATGTTTAAAAGTAATACTAGAAATTATACGTGTTCTTCATGCACATACTACTGTATAACAATAATATTAAAATGAAAGATAGTGATACCAAAATTATGTTTAGCAGAAAAATATTTTTGCTTAATTTTTTTCAATTATTTGTTTTTTCACTTCTCCAACAGATTTATTTTTCTTTTTTTAAAATAAAGATTATTTGAGAGACACACAGAGAGAAAGAGAGAGAGAGAGAGGTCTTCCATCTGCTGGTTCAGTCCCCAAATGGCCACAACAGCCAGAGCTGGGCCAGGCTGAAGCCAGGAGATAGAAGCTTCTTTCGGGTCTCCCATGTGGATGCAGGGCCCAAGCACTTGGGACATCTTCCACTGCTTTCCAAGACCATCAGCAGGGAGCTGGATTGGAAGTAGAGCAGCCAGGACTCAAACCAGTGTCCATATGGGATGCAGGCACCGCAGGTGGAGGCTTAACCTACTATGGCACAGCGCTGGCCCCAACAGTTTATTTTTCAAAGGAATGAATTGAGAGGAAATAAACATGGGGCAGATAACAAAGAGATAGAAAAGAAATACAAATAAATACAAGTATGGAATAGAAAATAAATATACATGTAAGCTGTTTTATAATAACCAACTAGTACAGAGAATGCCTTATACAAAACACAATAAAGGTTCAAAGATCAAGGTGTTCCCTTAGCTGAAGATTCCCAAGGCTGAAGATTCAGTCTCTGATGTTTGGAGTCTAGGCTGCAGTCCTTGTTCTAGGATGGATCACTGGGTTTGTGGCAGTCCATGCTTTTAGTCATATTTGAACAGACTGGCCATCTGGTCCAGGCTGAAGAAGAGGAAGTGTTTGATTTCATGTGTCATAACTACCTGAATTCCTCCTCACAATGAATTGCCAGGTGGGGTTGACCTTCTTGTCAAACTCCTTGATATGGGCCACAATGTCCTTTTGTATATTTCTCAACTCCTCAGTGGCACACTCCACCAAGTCCTATTGCATCTCTTCTGACATGTCCATGTTTTTGTTCAACTCTTTGCGGTCACACGTTTGCCAGGGAGCTGGGGCTGGTGGGTTGGCCTAATGGACCTGTCTCCTGGGGGAAGCTGCTGGTATTGCTTAGGCCAGGTGAGAGACAGTATCACTACTGAAGCTGTGGTACATCTCCAAATTTCTACTGATTTTTTTACTTTTATTTTAAATTTAATTGAAAGGCGGGGGAGGGGGAGAGAGAGAGAGAGAGAGAGGTTATATTCCATCTGCTGGTACTCTTGCCAAGTGCCATAACAGGGTGGGGCTGGCTAAAACTCGGAGCTAGGAACTAAATCTAGGTCTCCCACATGGGAGGGACCCTAGTGCCTGAATCATTGCCTGCTGCCTCCCAGGGTGTGCATTATCAGGAAACTAGAATCAGAAGAAAAAGGACTCAAATCCAGACACTCTGACATAGAATGCAGGTGTCCTAAGTGGCTTAACCACTGGGCCAAACACCTGCTCCTGCTTAAGGCTTTTATTGTAATAAAACAGTAGAAATATAATGCTACTTTAATAATTTTGGTTATATAATTCAGTGACTGATTATATTCCCAGTGTTATACAGCCATATCACTATCTATTCCTAAAGCTTTTCATCACTTAAATGGAAACTGTACTTACTACATAATAATTCCATATCACCACTCTCTTTCTTCCCCTCCCAGTAGCTTTTAATCTCCTTTCTGCCTCTAGGAATTTGTCTATTTCAGAAATATCATCATGTAAGTAGAATCATACAAAATTTGTCTTTTTGTGTCTGGTTTATTTTACTTAGCATAATGTTTTCTGGGTTCGTTGATGTTGTAGTACATGTCAGAGCCATTCTTTAAATGATTAAATTATATTTCTTTTTTTTTTTTCATTTGTTTATTTGTTTGAAAGGCAGAGTTACAGAGAGGTAGAGACAGAAACAGAGACAGAGACAGAGAGAGGTCTTCCATCTGCTGGTTCACTCCCCAGATGGCTGCAACGGCTGGAACTGTGCCGATCTGAAGCCAGGAGCCAGGAGTTTCTGGGTCTCCATGTGGGTGCAGGGGTCCAAGGACTTGGGTCATCTTCTACTGCTTTCCCAGGTCATAGCATCAAGCTGGATTGGAACTGGAGGAGCTGGGACTTGAACCAGTGCCCATATGGGATGCCGGCATAGCAGGCAGTGGCTTTACCTGCTATGCCACAGGCGCCAGCCCCAAATTATATTTCATAGTATGTATATACCACATTTTGTTTATCCAATCACGGGTGAATGGATGCTTGGGTTGTTTCTACCTTTTGACTGTTGTAAGAATGCTACAATGTACATTTTTGTACAAGTACCTATTGAAGTCCCTGTTTTCAATTCTTTTGGGTATATGCCTATAAGTGGAATTGCTGGTTTATCCAGACTGCTTCACTCTTTAAATGTAAATTATTTAAAAGTAGATTAAGTTAAAATTCAGTCCCCTACTCACACTAGCCACATTTCAAAAACTCAAATGGACACATTTGGCTAGTGACTATCATGTTGGGTGATGCAGGTGTACAGAACATTACAAACACTCAATAATTTGACAACTGCTTTATAATAAATCAATTGCGTCCTTTTTTGCTCAAATAAGACTTTTTATTTCTGCTTGTGAACTTTCGGTTTACCTTTCCTTCAGCAAAATTAAGTGATATTATAGATAGCATATCTAAAAACTGAGTTCAGCCAATCACAGGAGCTTGAAGGAAGTAGGAATGCTGGTTCTGAAACTAGATGAAAGGAGCTGCAGTTACTGGAACGGACAGCAGAGGGTGAAGGGAGGCAGCGTTCATAATGTGCTGCTGCAGTCAGTGGTGTAAGCTGCACGGAGTCCATCAGCTGGAGTCCCCTCTTGCTCTAATACTCTACAGCAATCCTTGTTTGAATTTCTTTAGTTCAGTGCAATATAAAATGCAAGCAAAAAAAGGACTATCCCCCTTTCAAATACATATAGCTGAGGTGATTTTTAATCTGATTTTGCATGATATTTATTTCCTGTTGATTGAATGTTTAAGAATGCCTCTAAAGAAGTAAGTTTAAGATGATACATATCTTTATGTTCATACTGAACTTACTGAAGAGGCAGGAAAAATAAAATATGCAAATATTAATATAAACAGCTTATCAACAAAATTTTAGAGCAGTTCAGAAAGAGGCAGAAATTAATACAGGCAAAAGTGGAAAAGAATGCTTCATGGAAAAGGTAGCCTTGTTCCAGTACTAAAGAGTGGAGGGTGCCGGCGCTGTGGTGCAGCAGGTAAAGCCGCCTGCAGTGGTGGCATCCCATATGGGCGCCAGTTTGAGTCTTGGCTACTCCACTTTTTTTTTTTTTTTTTTTTGACAGAGTGGACAGTGAGAGAGAGAGACAGACAGAGAAAAAGGTCTTCCTTTGCCGTTGGTTCACCCTCCAATGGCCGCCGTGGCCAGCGCACTGCGGCCGGTGCACCGCGCTGATCCAAAGGCAGGAGCCAGGTACTTCTCCTGGTCTCCCATGGGGTGCAGGGCCCAAGCACTTGGGCCATCCTCCACTGCACTCCCTGGCCACAGCAGAGAGCTGGCCTGGAAGAGGGGCAACCGGGACAGAATCTGGCGCCCCGACCGGGACTAGAACCCGGTGTGCCGCGCCGCAAGGTGGAGGATTAGCCTAGTGAGCCGCGGCACCGGCTGCTACTCCACTTCTGATCTAGCTCTCTGCTATGGCCTGAGAGGATGGCCCAAGTCCTGGGACACCTGTACCTGTGTGGGAGACCCTGAAGAAGCTCCAGGCTTCTGCCTTCAGATCGACCCAGCTGTGGCCATTGTGGCCATTTGGGGAGTGAACCAGTGGTGGAAGACATGCATCTCTCTCTCTCTCTCTCTCTCTCTCTCCCTGCCTCTGACTCTCTATAACTATCTGCCTTTCAAACAAATAAATTAATCTTAAAAAAAAAAAAAAGAGTGGATACTATGTGCAAAGGAAGCATCTCTCCTTAGAATTAAATTTCCTGGGGCCAGTGTTGCTGTGCAGCAAGTTAAGCTGCCTCCTATGATGTTGACATTCCATATAGGTACCAGTTTGAGTCCTGGCTGCTCCACTGTGGATCCAGCTCCCTGCTAATGGCACTGAAAGGTGGTCCAAGTGCTTGGGCCCCTGCACTTGTGTGGGATACCTGGATGAAACTTCTAGCTCCTGGCTTCAGCCTGACCCATCTTACCTTGCCCCATTAAGTTTCAGAACCACCATCTGACCAAAAACGCTGCTTCTGGAAAGGGTGGCTCCTGTGGGTAAGACGTGCACACGGCTGTGATAGGATGGGGTAGGCTACAGTTTGAGTCTTCACAGTTTACTTTCTTCCCAAGGGCTCTAGCCAGTAAAGGGAGAGCATCTAGTTTCTTATACTTTCAGAAATCTCTTTTTTCTTTATAAAATCAGACATTTACTATTTTGAATTATTTCTCTTTAAGGCAAAAATACACAAGATTTTAACATGGATCTTAGATTTTGACTTATGAGGCCAATGGTTTGTACAATAACTTAAATATCAAACTCAAAAGTTAATAAACTGATTTTAAGTTTAAAAAAAATAAAAACAAAAATCAATTTCCCTAGTGTTTATGAGCTGTCTTCAATGAAAAAAGTGCCATTCTAGGCACTGCTGAGAAAATAAGTCTCTGCCTTAGGGAAGTCAGAAATATCCAGGTACTAATAATTATGGAAAGAGAAGGGAGACAAATAATAGACTTTTTACTGGAGTCCCCAAAGATGAACAAAAAAGTGATATGTGATTCTAATTTTACAAAGAGATACCCGATTATGCATATTGAAACTTTTTCATATTTATTTATTTTGCCAATCTTGTAAAGTACTGTGCCCTTTTCTTTCATCTTTGTTTCTATACAGCAGCTTTGTCTAGACCTTCTATTTGCTCTGCTAAAGTGTGGGTGAACTCCACCTGCTGTTCTAATACTCCAGGTTTAAGGAAGAGGAAGGAGCTTGACAGAGGCAGTGCACAGTTCTTGGTTGGAGGACTGCACTCTACACTCCTGAGATTTTAATAAATATCTCTGTCTAAATGCTGTCTGTCTGTTGGCATTGTGGATGTCTTCCATCACACCAAGAAATGCTGTTGGGCTTTGGATTATTCTTTGCAATCATCACGAATCTCCAGTTCTTTGTTTCCTTTAGATAAAGTAATAGAGAATTTTGTTGAGTTCCATTCTTCAATGTCGTCACTTTTTGTTTAAGTTTTCTATTCTTGTATTCACCCATTTTTTCCCAACAGCAATTTCACTTCCTTCTAACCTTCACTGTCTGTTACTTTGGGAAAAGTATAACCAATCAATTCAAAATTTTGCCCCTTGATCAATAATATATGTGTAGATTTCTTCCCTTCATGCACTCGGCATGCTGCTTCTCCATTTTCCCTCCCTCAGAGACTCTTGTCCTAATTATCTTCCTTCTTTCTTTCTTGCTGTTAAATCACTATTTATGGTTGGAGATAATTAAATCTGGGTGATTAGGATTGATTTGCTCCTTCCTATTTTCTCCTAGCTGGAAGATACCAAAATAGAGAATTTTTGAAGTTCCCATTTCTGGTAGGACATGAAAATAGGTGGATGATGAAATGAAACTTTCATTTTAGGGTTGTGAGCTGGAATGTGATCTGATGGAGATATGTGACATGAATTTGCAAGGAGAAAACTGAAAGCAATGAAACAAGTTTGAAAGGTTTTATAAAATCATCTATAAAGTAATGAGAGCCTGAAGTAGAGCAGAACTTCTTTCATATATGAAATTTTTGGAATTTGGTAATCAAGATCTTTTTCCTCATAGTTTTCTAGAGTACCATCAATCTGTTTATCACATTCTCAAATTTTTAAGAATTTTGTATTAAATTTTGGAAGCTTGGGTTAGGAACCAAACCCAGGACTAGGTACTATTCATTTCTTTTGCCATGTACAAGATGTGTGACCCATATCAAATAATTTCAACCTCCTGTGACTCAGTTTCCTTATTTTTAAACCAAGGAAGTTAAATTGGGTGGTCTTTGAATGAGTGGATGAATGATTTTTTTAAAAAATAGATTGCTATGCAAATGGAAAATTTGTCAAATGATGAGAAAGACATATATGTTATTAATGGGTCTTTTATTAAAAATATATATTAAATACTAATTTCCTTTATTTGTTATAACTTGCTAGTCAGGGGCTCCCTAAACTATGGCAAAATGCCCTTCCATTCCATCTACTGCTCTAGTCAATGAGGTAGTTACTTACCACTGAAGTAGAAGCTAAACTGCTATTCTAGTGACCAAGATAAACTCTCAGCCCAAAGAGACTTTTAAGTTTAATGGGGAAATGGACAGCTACACAACTTACCAAAGAATGAATAGGGCACTAAAAAGTGGAGGTGAGAAGTGAATAAATTACATGAACAAGAGCAACAACATTTGAATTTTCGTGATATAAGGAATTATGAAGAGGCCAGAGTGGTAGAACATAGTGTGCTGAGGGCAAGTAGTAGAAGAAAGGAGTCTGGAAAGTAAAGCCGAGGCTAGATAGTGGAGAACTTCCTGCCATTGGGAGCTTGTACTATTTTATATAAGCTTGCAGAACAGCAGAAGAATGTGTTTTGCTCTGTGTAATAGGAAGGTAATCTAAACATCACTATGAAAAAGAATTAGAGAGGTAAGAGAATGGAGATAGGGAGACCAATTAGGCTTCATGGAAAAGAAATCAAAGAAGGAAAAAAAATCAAATAAGGAAAATTAACAGTATGGTTTAAAGATAAAAGATAAAAGGAGAGCATGCTAGTGAAAATGTGTCTATGGGGGAAAAAAAAACAACTCTTTTTTTGAAACCAGGCCAAGAAGGATGCAAGTGGAAAAATAACACAAACAGAATTCATCAAAACTACATATTTGGCTTTCTTCCAGTCCCCTCTGTGCATTGCTTGAATGTAGAGAACAAGAGGAAGAGTGACACAGAGGAGGCTGGAAATAGTCAGGGGTTAGATCATTCCAGTGTAGGCATGTCGAGGATATAACGTTTCTCAGAGCCCCATTTCAGGGATATTAGCAGAAGAATGAGCTGAGCAGCCATCTCCCTTCCTCCAATCCTTCCTAATTCTGGCTGATTCCACAGTATACTACTTTTTCTTGTTTCTTGCCAATCTCTTCAATGACTGTGCCAGGGCATCCTTCTCTCAAATCCTTCCTGCAAAATACACACCTAGATCAATCCAATCACCTACCTTCTCTGGTCCTATATGTTATCAAGTCAAACAAAATAATTCCCAGCTTGATTCTACTATAAAGAAATCCATTGCTTATAACATCCTGTTGACCTCCACAGTATCCAGGATCCTTCCAATATCTACTCAATGATTTCTTTCTCCTTGCCTCTACAAAGAAATGTAACATCATTTTTGTTATTCTTAGATGTTCTTCCTTAGAGTCTGCTCCCTCAAACTCAGAAGATAACACCATCTACTACTTTAAAGAGAAAGTAGAAGCCATTGGAAACTCTCTAACTTCTTGCCAGATCAACAAATGTACCTGCAAGTGTACCCACCTGTATCATTTAGGAAAGTGATAGCAGATGTCATAAAGCACAATAGCAGTTTAAACGATAAGAATTTATGTTTTCTCATATAAGAAGGTTGTGGTCAGAGATTGGAGGGAAATGATAGAGATGTAAGATAATTATTGGGGGAATAGAATAGGAGTGCCAAAAAATAAAAGACCTATTATTACTGATAGCCTAGTTTCACTGGATCAAAATAGAACCAATAATGCTGTTATTAATTTTTTTATTATGGAGGTCACAAAGTATATCAATAGACAAGTGGTGACCAGAACTCAAATTTTCTGATTCAATATACTTTGATAACTCTAATGAAGATAGTACTTTTGGCCAGTGAAACCAATGAATATTTAATTCTTCATAAACTCTTTGCCCCGTGGCTCAGTACACATTGAATCAGTGACATTCATTACTTCTTGGAAAGAAAAATTCAACTAGATAAAAGGGGTCTCTTCTCAGTTTTGAATCTGAAAGCCAGCTTTCTTCATCCTTTTGTGACATCATGATCTTGAATTCTTGTACAGCATTTTTGAATTGGAAAAGTTGGTTTCTGGCTTCTAACTTCCAAAAATGGCCCCTTAGAAACCAAAGGGAAAATTTAGTTTTTTGAAATAGAGTTTTGCAATGGGCCATAATGTGGAAAGCATGGAGGATATGATGCAAGAGAAGTCTCACTATATGTAAAGTAGAGAATTCAGAAGTAGTAGTTAAGGGGTATGTGTGAGAGATAAATGAGTGAGAGATGATACAGCAGTGCTCTTTATCCACCACACAATTCATGAGTTCATAGTTTGGGGGAATCTGGGAAGTTGGAAGCTTCTGTGAGATGTCTTGAGCCAACATGAGGTGGTATCAGTTATAGAAATGGTGGCATGCCATTTTTTGGGAGAATAGATGGTTCCCTATGGCTGATAAATGTTATGGAACAGATATAGAGGTTCCTGAGTGATGCTGAGAAGATAAAAAAGGTAAACATGTAAAACAGTTAGTAAACTTACCAGAAGTCACAGCAGAGGAGGTCTCAGTAGAGGTGTCTGTTCAAGGAAACATTGTAGTGGTGGCTGTGAGTGTCCAACTCAAAGTTGAGGTCCATATAGAAAAGATTGCTAAGTCTCTGAGCATCAGAAGCAGTAGTGAGAATCCATGTGTACAGATGGATCACCAGGAAGAGAAGGCTGAGCTCCTTAAGAGCCATCACCTTGCATGAGGGGGAAAAACTGAAATATTGAGTACTAATCTCCTAAGAGATTCAGTCTATCCTGAATAAACTGCTTTACTTTAATTAGTAGAGATTTAATTTTTCATTTCTTTCCTGTTTTTGTACAACTTTGAATTTTGAGAATTTTCAAGCCAAGAAAATTTTTGAAATATTTAACATGACTGTCCCTATGTCATCCAACCATTCATCAATTTTTAACATTTGCCTTATTTGAACTACCTAATTAACTAACATCTGTTTTTTTTTTTTTTTTTTTTTTTTGCCTAACCATTTGCAAGCAAGTTGCAAACACCATGGGATTCAGGTGTAAATACAGGTTAAATCATATTCAACCATATTTGTGTTCAATGTTATACTTTAGTATTCATCTCCTAAGACTAAGGACATTTTCCTATATAACAACATTATCAACCCATCCAGGAAAAGTCACATTAGTTGAATAATATCCAATATATGAAGGGTCCTCAGAAAGTTCATGACAAATGCATATTATACAAAAACTATCTTTTAATACCATTTTCCCCATAAACATTTTGAAAAAACCTCCTGTAGTCCATGCTTGATTTTTAAAAGTTGCTAAAAATACAGATGGCTCAAATTTCCCACTTTGATCTGTGATCTGAGATTCAGGCAACACATTTGGTATTTATGCTCCTTTAGTATCTTGAACAGTCTCCTTTGCATTCATGACATTGACTTTTTTTCTTTTAGAAAATTCCAGGTCACTTGACTTAAAGAATTTCCTGTTTTGAATTTGATAATTTCCCCTCATGATTAGATTTATCTTCAACACATTTGGCAAGTATACTACATGGGTTTTATTGTATTTTTTATTGAGTCACAGAAGAGCTGAGCCAGGCTGAAGTCAGAACCCTATAACTCCATCCTGGTCTCCCATGAGGGTAGCAGGGGCTCAATTGCTTAGGACATCTGCTGCTCCTTTCCAGCATTGCAGGTGACTTTCACTTGCTGTACCACAGTGCCAGACGCTCAAACATTGTTGATGCTAAGCTTGATCATTTAGTTGATTAACATGGTAGCTGTACAAACTTTCTATTATAGAGGTACACTTTCCACTTTTAAATTAATAACTAGTATAAAAGATGATATTTTGAAGCCATATATATGAATATCATGTATTCCCAACAAACTTTTATCCAATGGTTTTATCATCCATTGATGATCCTTAGCTATTATATTGGTCATTGCAATCTATCATTTCTTCAACACCTATTAGTTCATACTGTTTATTTTTTTTTAAGATTTATTTTATTTATTTGAAAGAGTTATGGTGAGAGATAGAGACAGAGAGGTCTTCCATTCGCTGGTTCACTCTCCAATTGGCCACAAAGGCCAGAGCTGCACTGATCTGAAGCCAGGAGCCAGGAGCCAGGAGCTTCTTCCGCCTTCTGATCTCCTGGCTTCGGATCACCGCAGCTCCAGCTGTTGCAGCCAATAGGGGAGTGAACCAGCGGATGGAAGACTGACCTTTCTCTCTCTCTGCCTCTCCTCTCTCTGTTTAACTCTGACTTTCAAATAAATAAATAAATCTTTAAAAAAAAAACCAAAAAGCCCTGGCCTGAAGTGCCGACATCCCATATGGTCGCCGGTTCTAGTCCCGGCTGCTCCTCTTTCAATCCAGCTCTCTGCCATGGCCTGGGGTAGCAGTAGAAGATGGCCTAAGTCCTTGGGCCCCTGCACCTGTATGGGAGACCCAGAAGAAGCTCCTGGCTCCTGGCTTCAGGTCAGCGCAGCTCTGGCCATTGCAGCCATCTGGGGATTGAACCATCAGATGGAAGACCTCTCTCCTTCTCTGCCTCTCTTCTCTCTGTGTAACTCTCTGACTTTCGAATAAATAAATAAAATCTTTAAAAAATATTGTGAATATAAAAAGTGCTGAGACTATGATGTCTTATTTCTCCATTGTATAACCAACTACCTATAACAATGTCTGGAACACAGTATTACTCAATGTGTATTGGTTGAACAAATGTTGGATAATTGATGAATAAACAAATATAGAAGAGAAAATAACAAAAAATATAACTTGGTCCATTGTCAAAAGTATATCACAAACATTTAGTTAATTATGAGAGAATCTCAAAAAAGTTCATAGAAAAGTGAAATTAAAAGATTTTTATTTTGGTGCAAAAATTTTAAAATTCATTTATAGCTTTTTTGTAATATGCATTTTCCACAAAATAACCCTGGTATTTTGTGTACCACTTATTTTGCATGCAAACTGCTCACTAGATATATAAGGGGATCAGTTTGTAAGCCAAATCTGGGAACAAAGCTATAAACAGAAATTGTAATTACAATGGGACAGCTTGAGAACACTTTGGGGATAAATTGATCCCATTCCCTTCCCAGCATTCTTTCTATTTTTAGCTTTCTTTAGCTCCAGTCACAGAGTCTCTTAAAACCTCAGCTGGGGTGATATATTATGGATTTTTGAATGTAAAATTTTGAAAAACTAGGCATTGTTTAAAATGGAATGGCGAGTTTAGATTCTTTGACAGCCTTTGGTATCATAATATAATTAGTGTCATTGGAGCTTTTGTTTCCCCTTTTCATTTTCCCTAAGATACAGTAGTTAATTTATGGATAGAAGTGCAATACAAAATATTTCAGCCAAAAATGCTTTTCTAAGGGTTATGTTTTCCAACCTTTTTATTGTAACTTCACTAACATACAATTAATGACAGTCATGCTTTGTGTAGTATAAATTATGTTTTAATTTTGGTCTTCATATAACTTATATGACAAGTCCATTTTCTCTGTTGAGCTCACTTTATACTCCCACATAAAGAATATGTATTCTTTTCTCCATTCTGAAATCGGAGATGAACCCCTAAAATTTATACAAAAATGTGACCCTTTAGAGTTCCCCAGAAGTGCTATTTGGGGTGCCACATATGCTACCGGAATTTGGAGTGCCATACAATATCACTATATGCTTATTACTAAATCCCCAATATTAATAAGCATGAGAGGGTTCCTCCTAATATTTAGAGAAGAATTCTAAATACCGGCACAGATAAACAAGGCAGCATGATACATTTTAGGCTTTTATTTAGTGCGAAAGGTGCATAGGAAAGTGAGGGCTTTAGTTCAAAGAGGGGAAAATCTGGAAACTAGGGTAGCATCCAATTCCAAGCAGAGAGCAAGCCAAAAGCCATGTGCAGCAAGTGCCTTGAGCTGCTATCCACCGCTTATCACCAGCAGCAAAGCAGAGGCAGAGAGCCTTTTGGGACGCTCATAGCCTTTTATATATTTTCCACAGGGGAGTGGCTTGTGGGCAGGTGGGCGCTCAGGTATGGTTAGGTAGAGCCTGATGTCACATGGGGGCGTGGTGAGGCTATCAGGTAGGGTGTGAGGTCACACAGGGGCGTGGCGAAGGCATGGTCTTCCAGCTCACAAACCTAATCAATTTTAGCCTGTATGCCTGCCTACTTCATTTCTATCTTTCACTCTATAGGTAATCTTGAAAAGGCTAGAATAATCTAAAATGTTTATAGCACATATAATTAAAGTTACCTTTTTAATCCTGGGGCTATATTTTGAACCAGCTCATCCAAATCTTCCTTGAATAGAAAGGAAATAGATATTAGACCAGTTTTGTCCTTGTCATCACTATTTGCATCAATACTTCATCATCATCAAATAAAGTGTGTGTCTTGATGTTCATCAGAATCACATATAACTTAATTATTTGATTTACTGTGATCATTCACATTGATGGCTTTAAGAGTAGCTAGAAATTTAAAAACACCAATCCTTGTTAATCTATCTGTATAATTCATGATTAATTGTACCCAAAGACTTTAGAAGGAAGGAGGAGAATTGAGGGAGTGAGGGGAAGTATGGTTATCTTCTTAGAATTTTACCTATGAAATACATGAAAGCTGTTCTCTTTATATTAATAAAATTAAGAAAAAAGGATAACCAGAAATTTAGAAACACCAACCCTTACAAATCTACCTTTATAAATCATGATTAACTACACCCAAAGTCTTGGTCATTGGTAATTCTAAGGGTAAATAGGTGCCATCAAAATCAGACTTATACCCAAGGATTCAGCTCAGTCCCTGATTATTGGGGATAAAACTCAATTGATGGGACTGTAAAAAGAGACACACAGATACTGCATATATATACTGTGTGCTATTGGTTGATGTGTTTTGCTAGGAATACTTTGGCTTCTTTAACTTTATATATAAATGGACATCACAAAGGATATTTCAGCAGAAAACCTGATCTCCTGACTTCTTTTGAAAGTCATAATCCTTGGGGCTGCCGCTGTGGCCCAGTGGGTTAATGCCCTGTCCTGAAGCATCCATATGGGTGCCGGTTCTAGTCCTGGCTGCTCCTCTTCCAATCCAGCTCTCTGCTATGGCCTGCGATAGCAGTAGAAGATGGCCCAAGTCCTTGGGCCCCTGCACCTGCGTGGGAGACCCAGAAGAAGCTCCTGGCTCCTGGCTTCAGATGGGCACGGTTCCAGCCATTGCGGCCAGTTGGGGAGTGAACCATCAGATGGAAGACCTCTCTCTGCCTCTCTTCTCTCTGACTATCAAGTAAAAAATAAATAAATCTTAAAAAAAAAAAAGAAAGTCATAATCCTTAACAACCCAAGGTCTCCATTTCCCAGGCAACCTGCTGCTGAGTCATGGTGCTTGTGCTCTCTCAGTCTCTACCAGCCTCCCTCAAGTACAACACATGTGTTGATACTGCTTGTGTCATATTCTGCATTACTGATCCTTATAGGCTTTTCTGTTGGGAGGGAACCCTTGAACATGCAGTGCAGGCTACATGAAAAAGTCTTGGCCTGGAAACCCAGGGCCTGCATGACCTTACTGTGACCTTGATGTCTCTTGGTTTCCTCAAGTGTTTAGTGGAACTGAATAAACCTCTTTTCATGATATTCTGTGATTGCTGTGACCTTCAATTATGTATCATGTAGAACCACTTTGAAGTATTATAAGGGTAAAAATACGTTACTCATACCTATGTACAAAAAGTAAATACATAATGAGTCAACAGAAATTTCGAGTATTCTCTGTGGAGAACAGTATAAGCACCATGGAAGGAATAAATGGGATAAAGGAAACTATCCTGCCATTAAGTGGGAATATTCTGTTTCGCGGGCAGCTGCTGTCACAGGAAGAGTGTGGTCTGAGTTAGAAGAGCTGTACTGACAGTTTAGAAGTTGTGGGTAACTCATCACACCTCCATGAGTCCCATTTCATCATCTGTAAAACCTGGAAAGCAGGTCTTGCCTCTAGCGCACAGGCTTGTGGTCAACAGCAAGTGAAATAAAGTGTGAAGGTGGTGAATAAACTGAAAGACATTCTGATAGGCAATAATCAACACTTCGTGGTAAAATATGAGCACATAAAGTAGACTAAGGATGTTTACAAAGCATACTGTTTATAATAGCTCCATAAAATATGATGACCTCTCAGAGTCATTTTAATTAAATGAGAGGGCAGATTTTTGGAAGGGTGAAATCTTCACTGAGTCTCATGTCTGGCTATGAGTCTGAGAATAGGCCTATTTTGCTTATTAAAATAAATTTGCTAATTGTGTTAAATTCTGATGAACGCTGTTGTGCTGAGAGAAATTGGCTATTTCATATTGTTCTTTCGATTATGTACTTCTATATATTACACTTACAAAAACTTAAATTTAGAAAGGATGCAAAAGAAACGGTTTTAGAGACTGGTCAGGGAAACTTTGAGATAGTATCTTCCCAGAAAAGAGAGTAGCAGAGGAGTTATGTGATTTGTCCACATTCTGAGAGCGAGGACGCTACAGGGCCAGAACTCAGAACCCGGGTTTTTGACTGGTGTTCTTTCTGCTGTACCACATGGGTGCTGGGGGCAGCTTCTGGCTAGAAGTATTGAAGTCAGTCGCTAAATGTTTAGATAATCAGATTGGGTAGGGAACTGTACTTACTTTCTTAGGAGGAGAAGTGTTAAAAAGATCCTGTGAATCACGAAGTGCGTTTGGATGGAAAACCCAACTCCTGCATTGAGAGAAAACAGAGAGAGGGAGAGAGGGAGGGGGAAAGGGAGGAGGAGGGGGGAGAAGAGGGAGGAGGAGGAAGAAGAAGAAAAAGAAAGAAGACTTATCCTTTCCCCACAGTTGTGGACCCTGGCAACCCCCGGCCACCTTTACCCTCTTGGTCATTCTTTTGAAGTCAGCTGCTTTTCTACATTGTCAGGCCGGTCCGTCTTCAACTTTTGCCTTCCCTAGCAGCCCCGGGACTCTGCTGGGATTCCTCCCCATCCCTCATCCGCGCGCGAGAGGAGGGCAGCTCTCCGGTGAAACCGAGGCTTCCCCAGGGCAACCCCCCAACCACACCGGCAAGGAAGACGGCCTCCTGGAAAAAAGTTCCCACTGGGGGCCCAGCAGTCGCTGCTTCCCCTGCCAAATCCTCTAGCATCCAAGGGCGAACTTTTTTTCCTCTTTTCCCACAGCCCAAAGGGAACGGTCCCAAGCCCCCGCTCAACCGAGCTTTAGCGCCCTAACAAGGGCGTTCGTGCAGGTGTCTGGCTGCCTGAGGGACGCACTTTCCTCTCCTCCAGTACCTTCCAGTTCCCCTCTGCCACTTCCCTTCTAGGTTTGGGAGGGACAGCAGCACCGGGGCGCCCCGGGGCTATTCGCCCCCTAAGGCTCGGGTTCGGGCTCGGGCTCGCTGTCCCGAGTAGGCTGCGGAAGAGGACGGTGCTGAGTCGGGGCATTAGGGGCCCTCTCGAACCTTCGCACTTAGCTGGAGCTCTTGGCCTTGGAAGACTGGCGCCTTTCTCGGGCCCATCTGGTCTCGCTGCCCACCCTGGGACGGAGCTTCCGAGGCCGGAGGCCGGTAGGCCGGATGCGCGCTCCTTCCTTCCCGCCCCTGGATGGCCGCAGGCTCCCCGCGTCCCCCGAAGCTCCCCGCCGCCGCCACCGTCTCCGTCCTCAGGAGCTGTAGCGGGATGACGATGCCGTCGCCCCGTGAATTGGCGCTGCCGGCTCTGACGGGACACTGGGGGTGGGAGTTCGGGGGAGGGAGGGTGCGGGGAAGGGGGAGCGAATGAATGAGTGAATATATGAACTCAAGCACATACTTTAACCTTTAAACAAGTAATTGGGTTAGAAGTTCTGTTGAACCAATTTGGAGAGGGTGTTAGTATCACCAAAACCAATGTAACTAACTTGGATTTAAAGATTTTTATTCATCATGGATTACAGTATTTTTGTTTAAAATATTATAAATATTGGATCAGTAAAGATCCCATTTGCCTTTCTGAAAAGCTGTCCTTTGGATGAGATGTCAAAAATGCACGTTAATATCCCATGAGAAATCCTACCAAAGGGTTTTATTCTTTAGCCAATGTTAAGAAACTGCATTTTCCTTCAGCCAATTTCTACCTGGTATAGATATATAGTCTCTACTACTAGGATTTCAGAAGCCAATGAGCAGCTTGCCTGTCACAAGACCCAACAAATGATTTCTGCCCATATGCAGTGTAGCTAAGTAGAGAAGCATAACCAATACAGCATGAAATATCGCTAAATCTACAGTTATCATTTAGC